TCACTAATCCACTACCGTTCCCAGAATATAAACATTTAATTAATTCACATGCAGTATATGATAACTATACAAACTGCAAAAATTGAATGAACAATGATTTTGTTTTCAAAGCTATTAGGATAATGAGGCTGCAAAGAGTACTTTTTATCCTTTCTGAAATTAACACAGTTTTTAGTGCTACAAAAAAAAAATAATTCGAAATCTTTAATTTATTGATTTCTTTGAGATTTACAGACGTTTCAAAAAGACTGACAACTGACTGAATTGTTGGTCTTTGAATTCATGTTCTTGAATCTATAGTTGAAGAAATGAATTAAATAAGATTGGTCTTCAATCTGTTTCACTTAAATCGTAAATTTAGTAAAAATTGCTGAAACTTATGATTTATGGTCTGTAGAGTGGAAGCATTGGTGAAATTTAATGAAAAATAATTTTTTGTAGCAGAATTATTCAACTCCAAAGTAATCTATCTGCATAACCCTAAAGTACCAGAGATGCCCCATATAAAATTTAAGAGGGCATTTCTAAAGACGATTACACATGATGAGCCTTCGAAAGCAGTTTTCTAAGAGATCCCTTTAATTTTAGAAAAACACCAGTTTAGATGTGTAGTTCCAAATTGCATTTGTAGAAAAGATAAATTTTAAAATTTTTTGTTCACTTAAATTTACTTTTATCAGAATCTTAAAACTGATTTGCTTTGCATAAGGCAAAAAGGTCTTTTTTACGGAAAGTGAAGGATGAGGCATTAACTGCAACGTTCTTCGTAGCAAATTGGAATTTCATTATTTTTACTAAAATCTATCTTGCAATACAAAATGTCGTACTTTTATCCATTTCTTTTATTAAAAACATGTGTTTATGGCCAACCAATTAAGAGATGTTTAGTCATGAAATTAGTAGCAAACTCCTTTTGTTACGATGTGTTTATTTTTAGTTTATCAGCAGCAAATTATTTAATTAGACAATTTTTTTAGCTTATCCACAAAAACATATCCTACAATTAATATTAAAATATTTACATTTCTTTGTTTAGTATGTGGTAGATGCTAGATATGTCTCGTGTAAAGCTATATATAGTATAATGTGAATTATTTATTATACATATCATTTCTACCTTTTAAATACTTATACTATTATTATTTTGCCCTTTAATTTTTAAGCAGTAGTTGCAGTAAATTTTTCTGGACTGAAAAAATATCGTGAGAAAAAAATGGTTTATTTAATGTTTCGTTTATATTTAAGAACTTATCATACAATATGAACATATATCAAATCATAATGGCGAATTTATTTTTTAAAGATTTGCTTAGATTTTTCTGATGCTTTTTGTACTTTTAGAGAAGCATGAGGATACTTTATTAGAAAAGATAGTTATTCCTTGAGCAAAAGGCTGCGAGAAACACTTAAAAGAATTTTAAATCTAACAGCTTTCATTGTACATATTTTTTCATTTACAACAGGTAATCATTTTCAGTTGCATGAGCATGTATAATCATTTCAGTTGCATCAATTTCAGCCTGAGAACTTTTGAGAACTTTTTTTCTAACTGTTCAGGTTTCCTTAATGTAAATACACTGACGACTTAGTTTTATATTACTTACGCTTTAAATTTAGTTATGTATTATTTTAAAGGATGGTATATGTAAAAATTTAATTATGCAATTTTTAAACAAAATTATCCATTAATATAATATAATTATAGTAAATTAGCATTGTTTATTTATAACTCAAAGCAAGTTTTTTTTTAATTTTGTAATTATTATTTTTTAACACGTAATCGGTATGTTTTATGCCACTGCACTAGGTACACATGAAACTTAGGATGAAGTATCCCAATGAAAAGTTCCATATAAAGATGTTATAAGTCATATCCATCATAACATCTTTATTATATATTGAAGAATATTTATTTATTATACATTGAAGAAAATATTATTTAAATGAATTTATATGATACTGTAGAGTTAAATCCATTTAATAGATGTAAAAAGTAACTAATGGAGCTTTATCGTAATTGAACACACGGTAATGTTAAGGAATGACTGAAAATTAACAATTTTGTTATCATCATATTCTTAAGAGAAACGGAACTTATTCTTCATGTAGGTCAAATAAAGTGAAAATCTGGATTGTCTAGTGTAGTATAACAATGAAATAATGTACCAGAAATGATATGAATGAAATTGCAGTCAAATTATTTTCTAATTATGTTTGTCATGATATCTTAAAGATTCCCTCATTAGAATTACAACAACTGTGTGCTTTTATCTTTTTATTTAAAAATGTATTTTTTTCTTTTATATTTTGTTATGATTTCATATAAATGATATTATGATTTTAATAAATTTGATAAAATTGTATTCATAATTTTTATTCAAATTTGAAAAAGCTAAATTTTAAGCAAAAAGGATGTTTACGGATTTATGTTCTAGTCATAATTAAGAGGCAGAAATTACCGCTATTTATTTTAAATACTTTTCATTAAATTATAACAGATGTGTCGTGAAACACGTATGTTTTAACATTTTTAATTTTTTTATGGAGAAGGATTATTCTCAATAAAATTGAAGTGTCCTTTGATATAGAGATTAATGATCGCTTTTATAAAAGGTAGAAATAACTCTTCTATATTTTTCTTGGAAGTTTCTCAAGGTGAGGAAAACAATTCTTTTAAGCATTTCTCCTCGTACTTTTTCTCCACCTAGTTTCTTTCTGAGGATTTAAGTTTCATTTATCCAAATTGTTTTGGTTGATATCTTAGAGGAATTAAAGTAAATTTAAAATCTGAATATGATGTACAAATTAAAAAATGTTTTACAGATTGCATTAAGATACTGATTAACCATGGGTGTAGTGTATGCCAAAATGAATAGAAGTAACACTTAAATGAAAATTAAGAATATTTTAAAAGTTAGATTTGATGGCAAGTCAAGTTTTATATGTTTTTAATCATTAATTATATTGCACAGATATGATACACATATGATAGCTCTAATGATACAAAATAAAACGATCTTTAATATTTTATTTTAGTTAAATGTCAGTATTAGTTAAGCAAAGCCAGTTTGAGACAGTCTCAGTTTTGGCGTAGAATTTTTATAATTAATTCTATATAGGAAATTATGTTTGTGAATACTAGAGGGCATAATTTTTATACCTGTTTTGAAAAGCAAATTTTTATAAATTTAAATTTTGATGTTTCTGTGAAAAGTATGTATATTTACTAATATCTAAATTTTATTCAATAAACATATTTATTGTCACACATTTAAAAATTGTTGTATCGAAATATAACCTTTCACTGGACTTAAGTTAACTTCTGCTGAAACTTCACTTGCACTATTCTTGTTGCGAAGTGGGATGTCACAACATTATAGCTATTTAAGAAAAACTGGTGACTAAAGAAAGTTTTCGGTTGGTCGTTTTTTAAATTTTTATTCTGTTCTTATTAAAACTGCTGACTAGGCTTCTGTATACCAGCATTCTCTTCTTAAAGATTTATAATGATGTTCAATTTCTAGATTTTATGCATTTTTAGTAGTAAGATTCTTCACTAGATCTGATGAATGTATATTTGTGTCATAGTTCTAGCATAACTCACTCCACAGTGTGAACATTTGGTTAATTATCTAGCTGCTCTGTTACTTTATGTAGCTACTCAATTCTTCTGTGTTTTTGCATCTTTAATTCAAACTTTAACTTTGCTTAACATTTTAACTTTGCCATCACTTGTTCACAGTGAAAGTTCTTGATTCCGTTAAATCATCGCTTATAAACATGCATACTATCTCTTCAAAAACATTGCGTGATATTGGATTGGAACTGAGGATAATCGTATGGTCACGTATAAGGTGACCAACACCTAGGAAAACGATAAGCGCAGTACCCTCCTCCTAATTATGATAACATTTTAGCACTTAATCCAGCTGAGGCTGATTCGTAAAGTGAAGATAAGATTAGTATAAGAAGTAACGAGATGAAACATCTGATTTTGAAGTAGTTTATTAACTATATAATTTATAAATGTGTCTTAATTTTTAATAGTATTTTTATTATGCGAATGAAAAAAGTTTAAAATAGTACTGAAGATTTCTTTTTGAAGCAAGCTTTTGTTTCTTTATAAATTTTGCAACCCATGACATATTAAATAACTTATTTCGGCGTAATAAAGCTGTAGCCATATGTACTTTTATTGCAGTGGGAATGTTCCTGTTCGATTTCCATAAAACTGTTATTTCCAATTTACAAAAATTTTTTTTCTGCATTTTTGGCGAATGTTGAATAAATCTAGAATTTACAAAACTGGAATGAGATAAAGGTAATCTAGAAAATAAACAATCTAAATGTACTTTTATTTTTTCCGTTTGTCGTAATTATGCAATTGAAGCAGAAAGAATAATAAAAAGTTCAAAAATTCTTGAAGAAAAAGCTTGAGAACCCCTGACCTAGATACAGTGAAATCCTTCACAAGAACTACTACTTTAAGGCCACTGAAAGTGATATATACAGAGAGATATTAAATTTAACCACTGAAAAATCATGCAATTTTGGCAGTAATTATTCCCTACTTACAAAATTAATATTTTATTTTGCATCTTTTTACATTTGAATTTTACAAATGAAATCAAATACATTACAATATAGAAGCCTCTTAAGGAGACTGCTTCTATAAAGATCAAAATTACGTCAAACCACTGATTTCACTGTATATATACGTAAAACAGTGAAATATTGTAGAAGAAAGTTTCTTTGTATATATATATATATAATATAGTCTTGGAGAGATTTCATTGTATATATACATAAATTAATAAATAGTGAAAATAATGAATATTAAAATTTTGTTTACTTCATCAGTCAAAAAATATTTATGCAATATTCTTTTAATGAATTTATTATAATAATTCGGAAGTGTAAGTTAAATTCATGTCAAATGTATTTCTAATTTCACAAGAGAAAAACAAAAAAACTTTGAAACAAGGGAACAAAATCTACAATTTCCGTTTTATCGAAATCATTTATTAAAATTTTTGTAAAAGGTTTTAATCGTATGCATTATTACAGGTCTTCTAGATGCGTAGATCGCTTATCATTTTCCAAGCACAACTTTCAGATTCATAGCATGTTGTCATCATCACATTACCTGAAACAGAAACAAAACTCAGATAAGTACTCAAAAAATGGGTTAAATCAATATTTCGGAAACATATATTATGCCTGTATAACTTGTTCTCAAATATACAACATATTTTTAATTTAAAACCATTTTAAATACTTTACAGAGCAAAGAACTGAAGCACGAATGTGCAAATACGCAGCAAACATGGCAAATTCCATATCATGATGAAATATTAATTCTCTACATTGCAATTATTGGAGCATAAACTTTATGACTAAAGAGAAATAAAGGTTAACACCTATTGTTTTTATACTGAAAGTCATTCAAGGGTTACGGTAACACTGCACCTTTTGAACTAGATTTATATTTAAAATTATCATTGATTTTTTTTTTCCAATGGCAAGCACTTGCCTATAGCCGCACTGGCCACTACTAAGGGCAGAAGTGGTGGATATTTTATTGTGCAGGCACCCAATAGGCGGCCACCGCTACTTCTTATAAAGGTACAGGTAATTTTACATCCATGCCTTCTCCGGGATTCGAACCCGGGCCCTTTGGTATCGCAGTCAGGATTCCTTAACCACATTACGGTTTGGGCGGCATTGATTGTTTTTTGAGAAAAATATATGCTGTTTATACATTGTCCACTAAAAATTAAGGAATATTATGTTTTCTAAAGCTCACCATTGGGAAAAATGTCAGTACCATTCAAATTCCCAGTTTACCTGCACAACAGTAAAAAAGTGTAAGAAAATATATGCAAAACTACTACTTATATTTTATAGAAATGAATATTTATACAGGACTAATTCAGAAGTCAAACAACAAAAATCAGCGTTATATTTTCAAAATTTTCACAGGACTAGTTTCGATGGTTTTACCGAACCACCATCCTCAGCTGCAAAAACGCAAATGAACGAGATAGGATATAATGATTAGATAAGATAAGAAAACCTGGACAAGGATAAGCAAGTGGCGCCATCTGTTGAGGAAATCAGAGCTAAAACATAATTTCTTTAAAGGCCGAATACAAAGTTGGATTGGAATTAAGATCGTTAACTAGAACAGAAAGATTTTTTGAATGTGAAATTCCTCTAGAAAATCCAGTTCTCCAATGGAAGATGTTTTTTGAATAATTTTGGCAGCAGAAAAATTGAAAGTGTGATTTTCGGACCAACAATGTTGAACAACAGAAGACTTCTGTGTTTCCTTTTTTCTAACATATGCCTCATGTTCCTTGACGCGAAATTTTAAGGCTCTCTTAGTTTGGCCAATGTAAATTAAACCACACTGGCAAGGAATCCTATAAATACCCCAGGGATTCATATCCGGAATGAGGTCCTTGAGTATGGATCTCGGAATTTTATTGATGGGAGAATAAACGACCCGAAAGTTATATATGTGCAACTTTATAGCTAATTGATGGAAAGAAGGGAATGACAACAGAATTTATATAATCTCCTAAAACAAGAGTGTGCCTTTTAGTATGTTGAGATGAGAATTTTTTAACTGCTTGATTAATAATGTTGGGTGAAAAGCCCCTGTTAATAGCTATTGCTTTTAAATAATTTAGTTCTTCATCAAGGGATAGTTTGGAGGAACAAACTTGAAGAGCACGGTTAACCGTGCTCTTCAAGTTGCAGACACCTGCAATAACTTCAAGTGCAGACACCTGCACAATGCAGGTCTGTAGGCAAGACGACAAGTTGTTAGTGTCCCTTAATACGAGGTTGCATTGGTGTAGGTTTATGATGGGCAAGAGAATATGTCTCCTGGACCGTGGTGGTATAGGTAGTCTATTCACAATAGGTGTCTGTTCTCTTCACAGACGAGTCCAGGTTCATACTGGAAAATGTTTCATGTCAGCAGCTCATCTGGAAGGAACAACGCAGCAGTACAACGAATACCACACTGTAGAAAGACACAGTTACAAAGATGGTGGGAAAATTATTTAGGCTGGGATCTCTCTCAATGGTCATATTGACCTGTATGTGTAACATGGAGGAACTTTGGCCGGCGTATGATATCGAGACGAAATCCTTGATCAATATGACAACCCATGTACAACTGCTACTGGCCATAAATTTCATCTGATAGATGACAATGTACTATCGCAACGAGCTCGAATTGCTGAAGAATATCTTGAGGGTCACGTTATGGAACGGATGGAATAGCCAGCTCAATCCCCAAACCTGAATGCGATAGAGTATTTTTGGGGCTACCTTGAGAAAGAGGTTACTACTTTAATCCTCCTCCAAGGTCGTTCGATGAGCTTGAACAAGGGTTAGTCCGTGTTTGCTCGTTACTTCCAATTTCACTGACCGAAAACTTAATTGGCTGCATGGAACGTCACAACCGCCAATGTTTTGCAGTTAGGGATGGACACATTGCTTAATAAAACCCATTTTTGCAATGTTAACACAGCAAATTTCCTCAAAAACCTGTGATGTATTCATATTTGTTTTGAACATTAGGAACACTCTGTGTCGCATTCATTAAAGAACTGTTTAGTGAGCATGTCTTCTAAATTCTTTGTTTTTATGTTGCTTCATTCTCAAATTGGACACAAAAAACATGCTGTTTCTTCAATTTTGGAGGACAGTGTATTTGCAAAATTTGTTTCAATTTGAAAAATGCGTCTAATTCAGGTACAAAGTTTATATTATTGCATTTAAAATGATTATTTACGCAAAATTTAACTCCTGATCACATTAAATACGCTAAATAAGAGGCAACTAGGATTCAAATAAAAATAGTAAAGTTAATTCAAATTGAATTGTGAAATAGAACTAAATCATACACGAATATGTATATAGAAGTTAACTTCTTAACAATTTATATAAATTGCGTTAAAAAGGGTGATGCTTATAAAACTCTTAATATGCATATACCGTGGTGTATGTTTTAGGTGTTGTGATATTATAACCTCATTAATAATGAGTCGTATAGGTGGGTTTCTTTAGGTAGACTCCTGGATTTTGTCATGTTAAGCTGTCCCCAAGGCAAAAAGTGACTTGAGCTGGTTACATTTACGAAGAGTATTTATTCAATACTGCATGCTGGATTGAGCTCCACACTTGTTTTTTGAAACCTGCAAAGTAAAATCCTTCCTTCTATTCCTGAGCACTGGAGAACGGTAATCCTATACTATGATTATAGCTTCCACAATCTTTGTAACAGCAGCCAATATCATGCCTTTGTTCACACTTGTCTCAAATACGACGAGCACTGGACGAAAGCCAAACCCGGGCACTGTGCTCAGAGTCTGGGTATCGCAAGCCCCCAAGTAACAACTTTAGAAGAAAAAAAAAGGGTATCATCACACATTAAATGAGTGTTGAAATAATAACGGCAGCCATCACATCAGCATATGTTTACACGCTTCAGCATTAATTTCATAATAGTAGTCACACTTCAAATTTCAAAAGCTTCGAGGTTTACAAATTCCAACATTTTATAATCTAGTACTGTTAAATCGGTAGTTAAGCATCTTAGCCAATGAAAACATTCCACAGTGAGAAGAATAACCAATCGTAAAATTTCTCTCGCTTATCAGACAAATTGAACTGAAATGAGTTCTTGACTGATGAAATTGCTTATCATGTTACAAGAAGCAAGCTGGCGAATCCCTGTCACCAATAGAAACTGATGAAATCTCTAAGCTGTTCGCATCGTAATCTGGCGCAATCTCTCAGCTATTTTCATAACAGTTGTAATAACTTAAAAACTTAATCCAGTGTGACCTCGTCACAGTATATAAAACGAAAGTAGCTAACAGAATAAATTCAATTGTTTGTAAGACAAAAGAGTACAACCATATGACATAATTAACAACTAATTAAATTTCACTTATTAGAAATGAAAAGAAACATGGGCATTCTTTGATAATGCCAGTTTTGTGAATTTCATATATTTTATTAGCCCTAAATTTCTGATTGGGATAACTAACTTTTCCATTAATTAAGAACTAAAACATTAACTTTGCAAGATATGAACACGCGCACCTACATACACACAAAAAATAGAGAGAAAGAGAGTGTAAGTGACGTATGTGATTATGGTAAAGCCTCGAGGGCTATCTGCCTAAGGGGAGGGATGCCTTTGTGGAGGACTTTCTAAGGGAAACTGAATCGTATACAGTTACACATGGGAAAAACCACGAAAACGCCCACGCAGCGAGTCCGTTCGCGGGATTCGAACTTCAAACCGAACTGCCAGTGTTCCGCGACTTTACCGTTCAGCCGTTCAGCTGGTAGGCAGAGAGAAAGAGAGAGATTATATTTGGCAAAAAGCAAACAGGCATTTTAAAAATTAGATGTAATAAAATATGTATTCAGTTTCTTTAATATATAGATAAAGCATTTAAAAATACTTTTACTACTGTCTACCTGATGGTTAAAATTAAAAGTATGAAATATTTTATATATGCACAACTTATACATATTATACGTTGTAAAATTTGAAGGGTATATGATTTGTCAAAATGAGTCAGAATGGTATTCAAACAGACGTTTCAGATTACATTGCTGACAAAGAAAGAGGTATTTCAAATTTCAGACTAAACTAAAAGTAACTTTGAAAAACAAAACTAAAAAACAAAGAAACTTTGATTAACAATCATAAGCAAATGCTTCTCATTATCCATTTAACAAAGAAGATTGGAATAATTTGCTTTGACAATTAAACATTCAACTTTACCAAACAAGTGTTTATATTCATTACTTTAATTACACTGAATTTCGAAGTAAGCAGTTCCATGGAAAACTTTCATAGATTACATTTTAAACCTGCTTCTGTCAATAATTATGAAATCATGTTAGATGAAACAGAAGTTTACTGGTGTTATTCAATCCGATATCGTGTTCCAAGCACATGTTAAGTCCTTAGATAAATGCATTTGGTAATGAAAGTCATATGAGTGAAATAGAATGAACAAGATGTTGTTCCAATTTCAGTAACAAAAATGAAAGCTTTAAGTCATAGGAAAAGTATCTATATTTTATGTGTGAGAGAGTATTTAAGTG